GTAGGTTTCTGGGAAGGACAGTGATACAAGAGCTGCTATATTTCTCAGGCTAAATTTTGTTACAACAATAAAGAGCCCTGAGATCATTAAGGCTTACCCTAGTGAAGTGTACAGGCAACTTTTGGGGCAACTGCCTTAGTATACAGAGACTCAGATATCCAAAGTGTTCAGGTGTTTTGCTTCTGCCATCTCAACATAAGGCTACTTAGGTCACAACAGCAGGGGGAAAAAAAAAAAAAAAAAAAAAAAAAAAAACAGCTAGAAGAGAATGTTAACCTTGCAAGCAATCAGAGAAATAAAAACTAAAACAAATACATTTTTCCCCCATCAAAATGGCAAAAAGCAGTTTGATAATACAAAATGCACGAAAGGCTATGGAGGAAAACAATATTCTCATAAACTGCTAATGGGAGTATGAACTGGTGTAACCATTGTGGACAACAATTTGAGGAGTAGCCACTTTGGGGAGCAATTGGTTACATTTAAAATATATAGGCTGGGTACGGTGGCTCGCGCCTGTAATCCCAGCATTTTGGGAGGCCGAGACGGGCGACCTGAGGTCGGGCAATCAAGAACAGGCTGACCAACATGGAGAAACCCCATTGCTACTAAAAATACAAAATTAGCTGGGTGTGCTGGCACATGCCTGTAATCCCAGCTACTTGGGAGGCTGAGGCAGGAGAAGCACTAGAACCCAGGAGGCGGAGGTTTTAGTGAGCTGAGATTACATCATTGCACTCCAGCCTGGGCAACAAGAGCAAAACTGTCTCAAAAAACCAAAAACCAAAACAAAATATATATACCTTATGACTCAACATTCCTCTTAGGGTACCCACTGTTTGGATTACTCTGGAAGCAGAGAAGGTGAAATAGAAGAAAATGATACACACAAGAGATAGGAGACACTAGTTGAAGCAAAAGATGACAGAGGCCTTACAAAATTAAAAGCCACCAGTATCTAAGAGACATTCTAGGACTCTAAGAGAGAATGACATATGAAGAAAAGTATCAGGTGACAGAGAAAGAGAGAGAGAGAGAGAGAGAGAATTAAAATATATCCTAAAGTCTAAAAAGCAGTATGGAGCCTGCTTGATAGAGTTTACAATTTCTCAAAAGCCCTAAAGGAAATACTTACATCTAATCTTAGGAAGCCTGGGTATATACACAAGAGATCACAGCACTGTGCCTGAGGTATGTGAAACTACAGGAGAAACACGGAACATTTCTAACTCATTATTTTTACTAAAAGATGGGAGTTGGAAGGATGTTTCTAAATGATGTAACTTGTAAGTATTAAAAAGTTTTTCAATTCTAAGACACATTATTCTCCCCACTTTAATATTTTTGAAACCATAAAGAAGCTTTCAATCAATATTCATTTTTAATGGTGAGCTTATTAAAAGTAAATTACTATAATTTAGGAGAAAATCAGTGTAAGAATGCTCGGCAAGTCTGAAAACAAGAAAGGAAATCAGAGTGGTGAGAGTGAATGAGGAGTATAGTAGGAGATAGGTAGAAGAGAGAGCACCCACTATTTGGTAGGTCATGGTGAAGACTTGGACTTTTACTCTGAAGAAAGTCTGTTAAGGAGTAAGTGATCAGCAGGGTGCAGTGGCTCACACCTGTAATCCCAGCATTTTGGGAGACAGAGGCGGGCGGACCACCTGAGGTCGGGAGATCAAGAACAGCCTGACCAACATAGAGAAACCCCATTGCTCCTAAAAATGCACAATTATCCAGCTGTGCTGGCACATGTCTGTAATCCCAGCTACTCGGGAGGCTGAGGCAGGAGAAGTGCTAGAACCCAGGAGGCGGAGGATAGGTACAGTATCAAGTACTGTGGATAGGTACAGTAGTTAAGGGCAAAGAAATGACCTGCGGCTTTAGCTATGGATAAATCAACCAGTGACCAGCAACTGTAGGAGCACCTAAAAAGAAGGAAATAGAAGCCAAAGTGGTAATGCTTTCTCCACCCAGTCAACATTCACCTCAAGCAAGCAACTCTAAAGATCAGGAAGGTGAGCTCCCAACTAAGAACCACTTAAATGAAGTTAACCTCCTGAAAGAAACCTCAAAAACTCAATTCAATCTCTCTCTAGAGAGACTGGAAAAAATAAAGAGTTGCAATTAAAAAACAAGAGGCCAGACGTGGTAGCTCATGCCTGTAATCCCAGCACTTTGGGAGGCTGAGAGGAGTGGATCATTAGAGGTCAAGAGTTTGAGACTAGCCTGGCCAACATGGTGAAACCCTACCTCTACTGAAAAAACAAAAATTAGTTGGGCATGGTGGCAGGCACCTGCAGTCCCAGCTACTCGGGAGGCTGAGACAGGAGAATTGCTCAAACCCGAGAGGGGAAGGTTGCATGAGCCAAGATCCCGCCACTGCACTCCAGCCTGGTCAACAGAGTGAGACTGTCAAAAATGAACAAACAAACAAGATGAATTTCTCACAACTGAAGACAAATGAGAATTTTCAGCTTGAGAGAGTACTTTAAAAGTGTCAAAAAAAAAAAAAGGCTGGACAGAGTGGCTCATCCCAGCATCTTGGGAGGCCAAGGCATGAGGATTGCTTGAGTCTAGGAATTTGAGACCAGCTTGGACAAGATGGAGAGACCCTGTCTGTATAAAAAATTAGAAAATTGGCCAGGGATGGTGCTGTGTATCTGTGGTCCCAGCTGTGTGGGAGGCTGAGGTGGGAGGATTCCTTGAGCCCAGGAATTCAAGGCTGCAGTGAGCCATGATCACACTACTGCACTCTGGCCTGGGCAACAGAGCAGGACCTCGTTTTTTGTTTGTTTGTTTGTTTGCTTTTGTTGAGACAGGGTCTCACTCTGTCCTCCCAGGCTAAACTACAGTGGTGCAATCTCAGCTCACTGCAACCTCTGAATCCCAGGTTCAAGCGATTTTCCCACCTCAACCTCCTGAGTAGCTGGGACTACAGACATGTGGTAGCACGCCCAGCTAATTTTTGTATTTTTAATGGAAATGGAGTTTCAGCATGTTGGCCATGCTGGAGGACCACAATTTAAAAAAAAAAAAAAAAAAAGTAAAATAACAAAACAAAACTACTAATAAATGTACTTAATAAAGGAAAAAAAATTATAATGAGCTCAGACTTCTCATTAGCAACACTAGAGGCAAGACAGTGTAGTAACTTTTTCAAAGTGCTAAAGAAAAAAGGTTTTGGATTTATTATTTTATTTTATATCCAACTAAACAATTATCTTAAGAGTAAATATAAAAGAAGGCATTTTGAACACACAAGGACTTAGGATTCATTCTTTCTCAACCCCCAAAAGAACCATGCTAATACTACTATTTATTTTAGCAAGAAAATTAAGGAATTCAGAAGTAGTAAAATGCAAGTACCTAGTAGCATAGGCAAAAATAGATGAATAAAACCAGTAAAATGTACTGGAAAACCAAAGGTAGAAGTATAAAAAATTTCTAAGTTTTATGTGTTTAATTACAATTCAGAGTCAAAATTCCATCAATAGTAACATGAGAGAAGGGGGACGGAGACGTGTACTCTTACAAATACTTGATTTACACAGTAGAGTACCAATCACGTAATTTTGCTCATATAATGTTTACTGGCATTTCATGAAACCTTAGAAGCTGATCTTTAAATTTTTCTTTGACTCTTCTATATTTGTTAAATATGGGATCAAAAGTTGGCTATCAGTAACTCCAAAGGCTATTTTATTTTGCTGGTTACCTTAGAAAACAACCTCTATATCTCATTCTTAATTTTCTTTAAAGTTTTTTTTTTCCTAGTCTCCCTCACTCCCTTTCTACAAGTGGTTTAAACCTTTGTAGTACAGTGTGGCTATCAAGCATCAGCAATGCTTGGGCCATATAGGTGGCATTTTCACTAAAAAAGCCATTTATGCCTTAGCCACATAATAGCACAAATACACTGTGTACCTAGGTTTCTTTTCATCTCTTTACATTTCAATCAGCTGTTTGCCAAATCGACAGTGAACTTAAATGTCTTACCAGAAGCTACCTTTAAGAAAAATATGCAATGAGCTAGGCCAGATAAAACAGAAAAACACCATGATGGTATCATACCATTTCTCCCTTAGTCACAATCAACAGGACAACCTTGAAACAAAGACATGATTTCAGACCATAGGAAGAAGTGTCTCTATTGTGCCTGTCTGTATGCAAGAGAACCAGAAAAAATCGTAACATATTAAATGTTACAATTTAAATGTTTTGAAAAAACATTGTTTTATAATACATACATGAGACAGGAAAGATAACTTGAGTGGCATCAAATTACAGACTATATAAATAGCCACTATCTGGAATAAAACTTGATGAATTAGTTTTATTTTCCTACAACCTAGCCTGGAATGTTGTATAGCACTTTGCATTTTTGTGAGTTATGTTTATCTAAAAAAGACAAGTATGATAGATGACCTTAAATAGTCTCCAGCTGCTAATGGTTTACTATTTTGAAAATACTTAGACTCATTATTTAGATATTTTTACATAACTGATTTTCATGAGTATTTTCTTCATATTATTTCACTGCTTAAGAATTATCAACTAACCTTTGTAAAACAGCACAATTCAGTTGTAAAACAGCACAATTCAATCATAATTTATCTGACAGCATATTAATGAAAAATGTCATATAATCTAGAAATTAGACTAAATTAAGAAAATGAGTCAAGTTAGAGTATGATCACTAATAAGTACACAGCAATAGCCATTATCAAAAGAAATTCAGTCTGAAGAGAGTATATCTCAAATGCACTGCATTCTAAGTCTGTATATTTAAAAGGCATCTTTCAAATCTTCTTATAGATCACATTAGAATGTTTTAGAGGTTTCTTTAAATTTAAAAACAAAATGGCAATAAAGACTCCTTTGCAGTTCTTATTTTTAAAGTTTAGAAAATATAACAGCACAATAAAGCTCATTTACAATTCAAAATAAAATTTAATAACTGGATTAAATCAATCATAAAGAAAGTAATAATTACTTACTTTGGAGGCCCATGGCTGAAGACAATTGGCATAACAGCGAACAAGAAAAGCCATTTCCTAGGCTGGAAAGGGTAGTTTCCTTTTCAAACCAGAGCCAAAGTGATGAGTACGGTGACAAAATTCTGCTAAGTTTCTTTTTAGAAATCACGTACCACTACAGTGTTTATATAAAGGCAGCCTCTCCAAACCCCTTTAAAAACTAAAATCAGGAGCTTTCAGTAAAGTATTGTTCTAAATCAAAACGTTCACTTTAACAAGAAAATCACAGTAAATGAAGATGTTTACATATCTGGGCTCAGTATATACAGACATATACATACGGCCTCAAGCACCTGGCACAGACATGCAGAGTGGCAGCACAATAGTTAATACAGTATCAATCAAAGCAAATCAGGCAACATGCACCAAATCTGTGTTCTTGGATTCTGTGAAATCTTTCCTCTCTGTAATATAGCTTTGTCTTTTCTTCAACCTATTTCATTTTGTAGAACAAGCACTGCAGCAGTGATTCTTCTGCATCAAAAATAAACATTGTATCCTGAAGATTAAAGTTTTCTTCTTTATATTCTTAACCACCAGAGGTTTAAAAAAAAAAAAAAAAAAAACCCTTGAGCAGATGGCAGTTAGAGCAAGCGGCAGCTAGACAATATATGCTGTTAACAGGTTTGTTCTGGAGAATGCCTAAGAATCTCCAAAATTCCAACTATTTTCTCTATTCACATACACTGTTTACAGCTCTGCAGCACTGCTTCTTGTTCTAATGCATCAGTAAAACAGCACTGTTGATGTAAGTCTGGCTTTTCTGGTTAAACATTTTTTTATATAATATGATACAAAACCACTATATATTCTGCTAAAGCAAGACTGAATGTTAGTGTCTTAATTCCTACTGTCCTTGCCTGTTTCACAGCAGTTCCCTAAGGAGAAGCTCCTATTGATTCTATGCTCTGCAGTAAGATGAAATATCTAATAAGAAGGAAGGAGAGTGGGAGGAGAATAGAGCTAAAAGGATGACATCACCTGTACAGAAAGCCTCCAGAAACTGCATTAGATCAATTGGCTACTGTATCTGCAGATGTAGCCCAAAGAGCAATTTATTGAAAACACACACACACACACACACACACACACACACACACCCCATCCTCCCTTCTATGAGACACATCAGCAAGCTAAATTCTTTAAGAAAAAAATTGGTTAAAGCACCCTTTCTACTCGACAGTTTTAAAAATCCATTTTGATTTTTAATTCTGTTCAATGATACACAGCTATATTTGGGAAACTATATTACCTATTATTATTCAAATATAATACAGCATTGTCCTAAGGTAAAATAATAGGCTCTGATAAGATACCATTGCATTCCAAACAGATAAGGCAGCTTAGGTTCTCAAATGTCACATGTATTTGTTAACAAGAGGTTTCTACTTGCAAAATTTTCTATTTATCAAATAACTGTTCTGAACTCTAACATTAAAAATATACAAACTAATACTAAGATTTGTATGTAGATAGTAAATTTAAATGGAAATAAATTTCATTTTGCAAAGGAAAGCTGGAAAAAAATCACACATACACCAATAGTTGCAGCACGTACCAACTCCTTTGAGAAAGAATCACCTACACAACATGGTACTTTCCTGCAGCCCAATGCTCAATTCCTAGAAAGACAAGAAGCCAGCAAAACTCACTCAGAAGAAATCAAAGAAAATGATTAAAGTGAGCGTGGACTAAAAAAAAATTGCCGCCCCCCCTTTTTTTATAGAAATTATAGAAAAAGGTTTTAATTTTGCCACACCCTTTTCCAACTGAAAACACAATAGTACTAGTACCGATCCTTGTCCTTCATGCTTCTGCCACAAGGCAGAAGATACTCCAACTAAGCCTGCAATGGTGGCTTCTAAAGGCCAAAGTAAGACACAGTTCCCAATAGTAAAATATAGTTAGCTGCACCTCCAGGCAGTAACATTATGAGAATAACAATCAGTGAACAAATCAAAGCAATAGAATTATTTTGCTTTATTCACCTAACACTTTTATTTTGGGGAAAACGGGCTGTGCAACATAAGAGGAGTTGTTACCTGGGAGACCGGTATTTTAACAAAGGACTTCCCTGATTGCAGAAGAAACATCTTGTTGTTAGGCACAAAAGAATAAGCTCTTTCAGTATCTTTCAGCAAAGTGTGAGTAACTTTCTGAACAACGTTATGCTGCCAATCTGAATTATGCTACTACTTATAAATCTAGAATTTAAGTTAAACTAAGTGAACAAAGACAAGTTATGCTTTCAAAATATGTAATTTAGATTTGTATAAAGCTTTTAAAAATTAAGTTTTTCTGCCAAAATTCCAAATTCCAAAAGACACAATACCAAAATACAGAATACCTGCATTTAAATATAAAATTAAATCTCACAAATGCAAACAAGCATGACTAGTTTTCTAAACATAAAACATGGAATATTTATACAGGTTGATTTTCAAGCACCATTTTCTTTTTTCAGTTTATTTTAAATCAATCATACATGAGTTGGAATTCCACTTGATACTTAATATTCTTGGAAATAAATCACATGTACACCATTACATCTTGGTATATACACACATGTACATCTTGGAATATTAAGTATCAAGTGCACATTGATTAAAATCTAATCTTAATCATTCTTTAAAATAGAAAAATGATAGCAGGTGCTTTGTATGTACATGAGGACAACTTTCACTAAAGATAAATTTCTAAAAGATGAATATTTTACACATATTAGTAGCAATATTCAAGAATACTAAGAATTTAAACAACAGACAGTAATTATATTCATGTATAGTACCAACAGAATATATTATAGCCAAATCAAAAAGCAAAAGTTTAATGCACACCTTTCCCCCCTTTTTATAAATCATGCTAATAAACACACAAAGGAGGACCTCAAGCTGAGCAAGGGAGACAGCCATCTCTTCTTAGCTGCTTTAAAAAACTGCTGCCCAGTTTTTTAAATGCAATCCACTAGTGCCATATGTTAGACCTACTGTAGTAAACACCAACTCAGTAAAGGAACAAAACTCTCTTTTCCTTTAGTTTGGCTTGTAAATGAAGATGACATCATCCTTTTCCTTGTTCTACCAATCGTCTCATAGTATCTTCGATTCCAGGGAACTGTATAGTAAACCTATCATGCAAAATATCCCTGTGTAACAATACCAAGAAAAGAAACAGGCCAAATTCCAGAGTCAATGTGGGAATCCACCAGCATTCTGATGAAATAATGACTTTACCTTTTAATTACTGAACGAAGAAATAAACATCCTTTGAAGAGAATAGTAATTTATCAAGTAACTAAAATAAATGACTAGTTGAATAACGTATTTGTCACTTGGATCACTTTTAGAATTTTATCACAATCTCATTTCATTATCTTATCAATTCAAATGAATTAAGTGCAGCAAAAAAGAATGTCCTCATCCACATATTGTCTAAGAATAACTACAGGACAGCCACTCACAAACACATCTCCCCTGCATATAAAATGCCATGATGCTAACCCATATTAATGAAATCTTTAGCTTTAGAAAGGCCTTTTGGACTACTACAAAATAGAGCAATGTATGTTGACTCTGCAAAGCTTCAAATCATTACAAAATACTTTTATAAAAGGGTAAATGTCACATCGTTATTAAAATTTGTTAACTGTGTATATTATTTAAACAAAAATACAAACCAAAATACTTGAAATCATATTCTTTAGAAAGCCAAAGATAAGGTTCTGAGAGTTACTAAACTAACCATAAACCTACCTTTTGTGTCAATATGTGACAACACTATAAAGAAGGGCAGGGAAAGGTTACCACAGATGGAGGTAAGCCATAAGAGAATATACATTCTAGGCTTTATGAAGAACAAACCTAATAACAAAACCTGGATTTATACTAACCCAGGCCTTTTATTTATACTTATTAATATAATTTATTCCCAATCTGCAGTGAAATATCATAATCACAATTTAGAGAAGTCAAACTCCAAATAAGTTAAAGAACAAAAGAAAAATTCTGTAGTTTTACAAAATATAAGAGCACTCATTTCTGTGTTTTAGTTGTGTTTGGTTTTTGAAATATAAACTTAAATTGTACTGATTTACACAGTGAAAACACTAAGTCTTTTGGAAAATACATGAATAAATGACTGCAATGGTCATAGGTCACATACAAGCCCTTTCAAAGGATCATAACAATCTTTTCCACCCCTATCCCCCACGTTTAACCTGAACATCTGAAATGCACCTTTGCAGTTATCAGACACAGTTAACTCTAATTACTGGTGCCCCTCAGGACTTCTGCTTTCAAACTGCATACCAATCCTCAGCCTTCATGAAGGAAGGGAGGCAAGAGTACCAACACTCCTCTCTCCTTTTGTAAGAAACAGTGTGCTTCAGCATACTGTCATATACATCCACTAACTGATCACTCCCATTTTTGTGGAAAAACTGTCACAGCCACCAGCTGGACACACATGCACTATGAAAGAGGATCCATCCTTAGGGAGTAATAGAGGAAGAAAAACCAAGAAGGAGAGAGAAACCATCATCATCAACGAAGGTGATGTAAGCTTCTATAATTAGAATCACTGAAATTGAAAGAACAATAAAAGGCACTACTATGCTTCTGCTTTCCCTCTACACTGTGCAGCTGTATCAAGAATTTTCATATCTGCACAAAGGGATATATACTTTGTATATGCAGTTACTCAAGTATATGCAAATCTAAAGTTTTAAAACAGTGTATTAGTATTTTCAAAAAGAGAGCAACATATATAAATGACAAAAAATGAATTCTTAATTTAAAACTATCTGTGAATTCCTGGATTCCTTTATATCCCTTGTCTATAAAGACAACCATTACATCCCTTCTGTGCTTTTAAATACTAAATTTTCTAGTGCTGTAAAAGCCACATACAGAACATAGCACAGTTACTAAACACATACCAAATCAAACTAAAAGGCAATAACAGTCAGCATTAATTTGTTCACAATGTCTGAGTAGTTGTTATTCCCTTCCAACTGGAATGCTGTCGTAATCACTGTCTTAGACCACTGGTATACATTAATATCTGAGCTGCTTTAAACAATTATCAAAAGAGCTTTCTTTAGCAATTACTCCATAAAATATTTCAAGTATGATAAAAAGTCTTTCTAATTCTGGTACTCTGGGCAAATTTGTCTGAATTAGTGTCACACCATCAAGGGAGGAAGAACTGCCCCAGACAACCAGAGGGCCTGCTCTCTTCCTAATACTCATGAATTTTTTTTTAATACTCATGAATTTTATACACAGTGAATGATAAAGACAATTTTTAAATGCCTATTTAGAAGTTACCAACATTTATGTACAAACTTAAAATAATTTTCATACCTTTAATCCAGGAAATTAATTTCTATAAATCAATCCTAAGAAAGTAATCAGTCATGTACAGATTTTTCCCTAAAAGTTGTTTGGAACAGGAGAAAAATTGGAAGCTGTGTGAGAATACTTTGTTACAAACATACAGCATGATATTAATATTGAAAATAATGTTTTGGGGAAAATTTAACTGCATGAGAAATACAAACACAAGAATATATAACTAAACATTCAGCATCATCTAAATTAATTAAAGGATTTAAATTAATCAAAAGATATACAGTCAGCCCTCTATGTCCATGGGTTCTGTACCTGCAGATTCCAAAAACTGCAGACTGAAAATACTTTGGCAAAAACCCATTAAAAATAATAATTCAGCCTGGGGGTATTGGTGATTACATCTGTAATCCCAACCCTTTGGGAGGCTGAGGCAGGCTATTGCTTGAGCCCAGGAGTTCAAGACCAACCTGGGCAACATGATGAAATCCTGTCTCTACAAAAAAACAACGTAAGCTGGATGTGGACGCAACTACTCAGGAGGCTGAAGTGAAATGATCCCTTAAGTTGAGAGATCAAAGCTGTGATTGTTCTACTGCATTCTAGCCTGGTTGACAGCAAGACCCTGTCTCAAATAAAACCCAAAACCCAAAAACAAAAAAACACTACAACAACTTTAAAAAAATAGAAATTTTCAGTATAGTAATCATTTATGCTCTATTTACACTGTATTAGGTATTATAAGTAATCTAGAAATGATTCCAAATATAGTCATGCATTAACAACTGGGGTACGTTCTGAGAAATGTGTCATTAGGCAATTTCATCCTTATGCAAACATCACATAGTGTAGCTACACAAACATAGATAGTACAGCCTAGATAGTACAGCCTACTATACACCTAGGCTACAAGGTATAGCCTATGATTCCCAGGTTACGAACCTGCTCAGCATGTTACTCTACTGAATGCTGTAGGCAACCGTAACACAATGGTTAAGTATTTATATATTTAAAGACAGAAAATGTACAGTAAAAACAGGTACCAAAATCTGATGTCATTTATGTGGTCTGCCATTAACCAAAATGTCATTATGCAACCCATGACTGTATATGAAAGGATGTGCAAAGATAACACAAAACTACTACATCATTTTATATAAGGGACTCAAACATCCTCAAATTTTAATATCTGCAGGGGGTCCTGAAACCAAGCCCCATGGATACTGAGGGACAACAGTACATTAAAAAAAACTGTAAGTACCAGTAGCTATCTCCAGGTCTGAGGATGATAGCAAATTCATTCCTTCTTCATACTCTTTCTATATATTTTACATTTCTACAATAAGGCTTTCTTAACAAAATTTTTAAAAAGTATCTGCTCTAACCTGGCATTTGTCCTAGTTTTAGTTGTATCACTTGTATGCTTTTTCTCTATTTGTGGACTCAATACCCTCTAACTAGGTACAAAAATCTATCAAGAATTCTTTATTATTTCCTAGAAGATAAATGAGGAAAATTCTCCTAAAGGATATTAGATACTCATGAACAAAAACAGAAAGGCCTCTTTTGTTTTTAAGGTGGAAAGAATTACAAACAATATACACCTGTTCAGAGTATTCTGGGCTGTAAATAAAGAGAGAAGAGAAGCAATAATGAAAAGCTGAAGATTCTTGGAGGTGGGGCTCCAAATTTCTCAGTAGTGGTGTAATCAGCACTCACTGTCTTCTACACAAATAAGATTATCAAAGGTCCTATTTACAAACTTCCTGAGTTTAGAAGTAACAAGTCTGTTTATTCATTCATTTTATTCTGAAAGTACTTACCAAATACCATATTAAAAACAATCAGGATTTATCAAGCCCACAAATACAAAATAAAGTTCACAATGTTAACAAGTTACTTCATCAAACAGTGACTCACTAAATTCTCCTGATGACTGATGCAACAATAGTGTTTACACCTCCTTTTAGTTTGACTTGGATAAATGTTTAGACTTTCTGTTTACTGGTGCTCCATGAAGAGACCTCAGCAATCATATGTTTGTACCAAAGTTCTCGAGTTTCTCATGAGGAGGTGGGGGGAAGGACCTTGATGAATAAGACACACACACACACACACACACACACACACTCACACACTCTCTCTCTCTCTCTCTCTCTCTCTCTCTCCATAAAAGCAAAACACACTTGCAATAATACCTTAAGTGGTCATACCCATGGTCAAGTAAAAGCCTCCAGCCATTTTTCAGTGTATCACCACAAAGGTGGTAAGTGATGTGGTGTCTTAACAAGCACCTCTTATTGAGCTGCATTGACAAGTGCACATTAATCTCTCTAAATATGCTCTGAATCTATACAAAACATGGAGCACAGAAAGAGAATGAAGAACATGATATAATCACAAGAGTAGCAACGAAAAAGAACTGCCTACTACATTAGAAATGTATGAGCATAAAATGAAAGAGTAGATTGTTGTGTGTCATACTATTCTACCACTATACAATCTCAGAACAAAAAATTGATGGAAAGAAAATAAATAAAGAGGTCTCAGGAAAGGGAAACCCTCCAAATTAAAAACCCAAATCCATAATGCTGCTATGGAAATCCTTTCCAGGTATTCTTTTAGGAAGGGCTGACTGGCTCCATGTCTGTGCAGATGTTATGATGAAGAAAGAGAGGAAGACCAGCAGCTGATTCTATTCCTGAGAATATAAAAAGCATCCTAAGCAACATAGAGAACAAGAAATTAAAAAATTATGATGTACGCTACTGAGGAACTTGAGATCCAGTTAATAAGACAACAAACATATAACAAACACTCATACAGGCACACTGTTTGTTATTTAAAAATACAGCAGCTGGCTGGGAGCAGAAGCTTATGTCTATGATCCCAGTGCTTTGTGAGGCCGCAGTGATTAGATTGCTTGAGCCCAGGAGTTTGAGACTAGCCTGGGAAACGTAGCAACACCCTGTCTCTACGAAAAATGAAAATAATTAGGTGTGGCGGCACATGTCTGTAGTCCTAGCTACTCAGGAGGCTAAGGCAGTCATTTGAGCCCAGGAGTTTGAACTTATAGTGAACTATGTTCCCACAACTGCACTCCACAATTTGTGCACAACTGCACTTCACAGCTTGAGTAACAGAGACCCTGTCTCAAAAACAGCCGCAACAAATATACAGCAACAACAGGAAGGTGAAATCAAAGAGGACTATAATTTATTAAAGTACACAAATACCAACAAAAATTTTTAAACCTTTGAAGAATGCCCAGAATCTGGCTCAATTATATTTCTATGAAAATGAGCACAAATGAGATCTGATATTCTAGAGACTCAAGTTAAATAAGGGCACAACTGGGGCTTGACCTTGGTGAAACCAAGCTGTTTCATGTTTATTGGTCTTGGTTTAATTTTACCATTTAATTCTACATATGTACCAATATTAAAAATTCAACTGACTACATTTGAAAATGTTTACTGCTATATGCTATTTAAAATGAAACATTTTATCAAAAATACAGGCATTTAAAGCATTCTTAACTAAGCTGTTAATTCCATTTTTTATCTTTAGAACAGTGCAGAATAATATGGGCACCTTTCACGCAAGAACATGTACTATCCTATGGGACCAATGAAGAGACGTGCACTCTATGTACAGGAAACGTCAGGAAAGGCTCCTCTAAAGAGGTCACGGATGAATGAACTCTCGGGGGCTGAACATGACTTTGTCAGGAGAACATCATAGAGGCCCATTCTGTATAAAAGGAGCAAGTGGCAAGATTCAAACTGACTCATCAAAGTATAGAATTAGGTAAAGAAACCAGAAAGAGCCTTCAAGAGAAAGAACAGGACCAAAGGTAGGGACCTCCAAACATAATGGGACCAGAAAGCTGAAAAAGTAAACTGGGGCTAAAGAAGAAAAGGATTTATATACCATATAATCTCAACATTTTTAACCTTTGTATCTTCTTTTTTTTTGTAGGGACAGCGTCTTGCTTTACTGCACAGCTTTGTTTCAAACTCCTGGCTTCAGGTGATTCTTTCACCTCGGCCTCTCAAAGTCCTAGGAATTAGGCATGAGCCACTGAATCTGGCCTCAAAACCTTTAAAAATCACACATAGAATTGGGGGGGGAATGAGTTACATTTTTAACATGTATAAGGTATTTAAAAATTAATACATGTGTTACTAGCAAAATATTTTGTATTCATTATGAAATAAATACAAAATCCCAAGAAACTTAAAGGATAAGTAATAGTATTTCTTCCCAAGTCCTGGAGATTGTTTTGGGCTAAACAAATGGCTTTGCTAACTACTACCAGACAGGTCTACAAGTGATTAATTCCAAAATCAGATCATCATTTCTTGGCAGACATTCTCCATCTCATTTGATTGGCTTCTTGATACTCATTCTATACAATAAAGCGACTCATCAATGAATTTCATACACATTTTGTAATTACTTTAATCTTTAAAAACTGGACAAAGAAATTACCTTGTTCAAAGTGAGTGATTCTTAGGGTAAATTTTAGTTGTCTGTTGTTTGTTCTAACTTCAAGCTAAATTATTTAACTTTTCTTACCTTTATTCTCCCTTTGCTCTGATTCTTTAGCTTACTTGTTTACTTTTATTTTAATATATTTACACATTTTGGTAAGCACTTTTTACATCCAGGTACGGAATAAATAAGAGTGTTTTGTAAGCAATAGAAACAAAAATTTTTTTTAACTGTAACAACAGCAATAGGATGCTACTATCATTACTGAATATTTTTCAGAGCACCAGACACTAGGCAGAGCCCTTTTAATATATTCTCTCACTTAATCCTTTTTTAAAACTATACATTATCTATCAACACAGACATGCAAAGGTCATACAACGTGCCCCATGTTACACAGGAAGCTAAGCAAGCTGACAGAACAGACACTTTCATTCTCTTTGGCAGGCAGTATACTCTAAGGTTACAATTACAATGGTTGACATTTTCTAGGAACATCCATTCTGATGGGAGAGATATTTAAATAAACAATGACACTGCAATACAGTATAATTATAATTATACTCATCATAATGAGTGCTTACAGGCACGTAAGATTTTACGGGAGTGCAGATATGTACCTAACCCTTCCCAGGAAAAAAAATCAGAGTCCTCCATGACATGACGTGAAATTAAGTCCTGAGGCTTTTGCTAAGAGGACAAAGAATAAAAGTACATTTTAAGTAAAAAGAACAGTTTATACAAGAGATGTACATAAACACATGGTTTCTTCAAGGGTCAGCTAATTTGTTCCGTATGGCCAAAAAGTAGGACATACATAGAAAACAGGTAATATATAAAGCTGGAAAAGTGAACAAAGTCCAGATCTGTGTTGTCCAACTAGGGATATGTGGTTATTTACCTGTAAATTGTGCTCAATAGCTCAATACTATGGCTAGCTAGCTGCTATCAATTTTGATGGCACAGATATAAAACATTTCCATCATAACAGAAAATTATATTAAACAGGACTGATCTCGACTATGAAGGTCCTTATACGCTAAATCACTGGAATTTTTCTGATAACTGGTGATAGGCCACGAACAGATTTAAGAGTTTAAAAAAAGTGACATTGTTAGAGCTTCACTTAGAATTGACAGAAGCAAAATAAATGGACTAGTTGGGGGCAAGGGGATACGAGAGGATGTAGAAAACAGGGCTAGTGATAGGGAAACAAGTTCAGAGAGAAGACAAAACAAATTAAATCAAATAAACAAACTGATTAAGTAGATACCGTCTGATAAAGAAATTAAACAATACTTTCCAGGTTTTATAATTTTTTGAAATCTTCTAAAGTAAAAAAAATACTGCTTTTACAGTGAAAGGTGGCTGGAGGAATTTGGGAGATACTCAAACAGTTCTATAAAAAAAAGGTGAACACTAAAAAAATTACACGGGCAAACTGAGTGAGAAGCACAAATTCTGAAACATGTGAAAGGAAGAATCTATAATTATTATTAACTGATCAGACTGTGAATATACACACATGTTCTAAAAATTTCAACAACCACCCCCTAAGATAGGCAAACCTGGTATTACAATATCCTTATTTTTAGAGGTGAAGCACCAAAGATTTAGATGAACTCTCCTCATCATTCAGTTAGCGAAGTAAGAATTAAAGATAGATGGCTCATCTAAATACTGGACTCTTTTTATTTGGCTTGATTACTTATCCTGTTCACTAAATATTGCTCTCGATCACCTTTCTGCTATCTAAATAGCAAAGTTATATGCCTCAAAGATCAAAGCTCTGAAATTTTTTAGAATATCTTAAGACACTTAAATTTGTTGCAAACTCTAAAAATATTTGAATATTTTACAGAAGAATATGAATATACAAGTGACTAATAAGTACATGAAAAGAAGCTCAACATTGTAAGTCATCAGGGATATGTAAATTAAAATCAAAATGAGATGCTACTACATAACTATTCGAATTTTTAAAAATAATAATAAAATGTAAAAACACCATATGTTGGTGAGCATGTGGAAACTGTCATTCTCAAATAACACAAATTATGTAGAATGCAATAGCCACACTAAATAACAATTTTGGTAGTTTCTTATAAAGTTAAGCATACATTTACCATATGACCAGTCACCCACTTCTGAGTATTAACCAAGGAAAATGGAAGTATATGTATCAACAAAGAAATGTTCATAGCTTTATTAGCAATTCCCCAAAACTGGAACAATCCAAATATTCATAAGCAGGCCAACAGAGAAACAAATTGTGGTACATTCATACAATGAAACACTACTCACCAATATAAGAGGGGAAAAATACTTTTGATAGACACAACAGGAAAAGGTCTCAAAATCATTATAATGAATGAAAGAAGTCCAACCCCCCCCCAAAAAAATCCACGCTATATGATGTCATTTACATAAAATTCTAGAAAACAAAACTAATCCACAGTGACAAAAAGCAGATAAATGGTTGCTTGAGGATGAGGATTTAGAAAGGATGAATTACAAAGGGAGACGACAAAACGTTAGGGTGATGGAAGAAATCATAATCTTGACTACGGTGATGGTTTCAAAGTTTTATTAAACATATGTCAAAATTGATCAAACTATGCACTTTTAATTTTTTTTTTTTTTTTTTTGGAAATGGAGTCTTGCTCTGTTACCCAGGTTGAAATACAGTGGTGTGATCTTGGCTCAATGCAGCCTACATCTACTGGGTTCAACTGACTCTATTGCCTCAGACTCCTGAGTGGCTAGGATTACAGGCATGTGCCACCACATCCAGCTAATTTTTGTATTTTGAGTAAAGATGGGGTTTCACCATATTGGCCAGGCTGGTCTCGAACTCCCGACCTCAAGTGATGTGTTCCCCTTGGCACCCTAAAGTGCTGGGATCATAGGTGTGAGCCACCACGCCTGGCACAAACTGTGCACTTTAAATATGAGTAGTGCATTATACTTACAATATCACAATAAAGTTACAAAAAATTGTATCTCAAAAAAATTGTTGCAAACTTACAGAAATACTCAAAGGAATTTTAGAAATGTTATTACTATTACAGACGTGCTCATTCTCCATTAAACTGGCCGGGCATGGTGGCTCATGCCTATAATTCCAGCACGTTGGGAGGCCAAGTCAGGTGGATCACGAGGTCAAGAGATCGAGACCATCCTGGCCTACATAGTGAAACCCCGTCTCTACTAAAAATACAAAAATCAGCTGGGTGTGGTGGTGTGTGCCTGCAATCCCAGCTACTTGGGAGGCTGAGGCAGGAGAATCGCTTTAACCCAGGAGACCGAGGCTGCAGTGAGCCGAGATCACGCCACTGCATTCCAGCCTAGCGACACAGTGAGATTCCATCTCAAAAAAAAAAAAAAAAACACAACTGGAAACAACGTAAATAATAAAGTATCAGGAAGTGAATAAATTATAGAATATTATTATAATGGAGTACTGTGTAGTCATTAGGAATAATGAAAAAAAAACATTTCATAGCATTCAAAGATGTTCAGTTTATATATTTTTTTTGAACTTAGAAAAATTTATATATTTGTTTTTAAAAGTAAGCCAAACACCTTACATATTTATCTATATGTTGAAAGCTTTATCCAAGAATATGCAAAATGTCATCAAATGGTTATATAACTGTGTGATGGGAACAATCTGTTCCTAATTTTTCAAAAATATATATATATTACTTGCATAAGGCAAAATAGGTCATCTTAATTAGTGATGTGGAAATTTACTGTACAAGAAGATAAATAAATTGTTAAATAGTAACAGGAAATAAACCTTGTGTGGTTCTAGATACGATAAATTTTAGAACTATTTCACATTACTGTACTGAATCAGTGCAATTAGGCAAACGTGACAAATATCAGAGCTGCCTTAAATCTATCACTTATTTCAGTACAAACAACTCTCTAAATAATCTTTCTTATTCCTAACACCTAACACGGAATGAGTAAATATCTGTTTATGACAACCGAAAGAACTAAACACATCCTTGGGAATTTTACTGTAATCAACCATCCTTTTTATTATTACTCTTAACACATGCAAACAAGAGGAAATGCTCTGTACTAATTGTTTAAATATTTTGGAAATCATGAAATCCTTTGGAAACTGGAAACTATGAAACCTCTCCCCTAAAAATACACCTGATTTTTTAAGATTACCCTTATTTCTTGATTTAACTACTTTCAGTCTAAAAAGAAGCTACAAAATTAAAGACTTCTGAAGACACAGATTACATTTCTTGCCCTTTTTTTTTTTGAGACAGAGTTCTGCTCTTGTTGCCCAGGCTGGAGTGCAGTGGCGCAATCTTGGCTCACTACAACCTCTGCCTCCCAAGTACAAGCAATTCTCCTGTCTCGGCCTCTGGAATAGCTGGGACTACAGGCATGCATCACCACACTCGGCTAATTTTTGTATTTTTAGTAGAGGCGGTGTTTCATCATATTGGCCAGGATGGTCTCCAATCCTGACCTTGTGATCCGCCCACCTGGGCCTCCCAAAGTTCTGAAATTACAGGTGTGAGCCACTTCAACCAGCCTAAGAATTTCATTATTTAAACAACAATAAAAAAGCAAAAGCAGAACTCCCACTGATAAGATATTCCTAACCTATTCAACCAAACAGAAGCACTTAAAAAGATTATATATTTACCTGCCCCAAACTTTCACACACAGAGCCCAACTTGTTGATATTACCATATGTATAATTTAAAGATACTATATGTGAAAATTAAGAACGATTCATGAAGTGTTTCTAAACATACTCACAGAAAGATAGCTGTTTACCTCCACATCATCAGTAATGGTTTGGCGCTCTCCTTTATAGTTAATTTTCCGAAATCTTCTTCGAGATTGTCTAGCAGGAATTTCTCTTTGTAAAATACTATCTTCATTATCTTTGGCATTCTCTACCTGAAACACATGTTCATATTTCCGATTAAATATCAAAATTTTATGTATTACTGACAGTCTGTGGAGTCTTAACAGGCTCATAAGGAAGCTTCATTTACTTCTTACAAGAAACTGCCTCAAGAAAACAGTCTGAGATTAAAGGTGATGTTATCATAAAGATCTGGAGACCACAGTTTCCTTCCAGGAAACAGTCTCTCTCGTGCACATAAACATACATCCTCTAGGTAAAGTCATTTACCAGAAATGAAGGCTGGTAACTACACCTATGCATTCAATAATTACAACTTCAGAGTTCCTCTTACTACAAACTGCCTAATTGTGTACATATTGTACTTAGCAAACAATCATGGTTATGGTTTGAGCTAATTGTTAAAAAATAAAACAAGAAAATGTTATGCAATATTCTTTAATTTTTTTTTTAATTGAGACAGAGTTTCGCTCTTGTTACCCAGGCTGGAATGCAATGGCGCGATCTCGGCTCACCACGACCTCCGCCTCCTGGGTTCAGGCAATTCTCCTGCCTCAGCCTCCTGAGTAGCTGAGATTACAGGCATGCGCCACCATGCCCAGCTAATTTTTTGTATTTTTAGTAGAGACGGGGTTTCACCATGTTGACCAGGATGATATCGATCTCTTGACCTCGTGATCCACCCGCCTCGGCCTCCCAAAGTGCTGGGATTACAGGTGTGAGCCACCGCGTCCGGCCAATATTCTTTAATTTTTATCTTAATGCATGACAATAGCCACAAGTAAGGCTGGCATCTTTTAAGTAGGAAAATAAAATGCAAAATTAACATTTGTTAGGAGTTTAAAATGGGTCAGCATGCATATATATTAAGCACTTAGTTCACACAGCAGCCCTGTAAGCAAGTAGTACTACCTCTACTTTCTTCCGGCAAAAATAAATCTGAAGTTATTAGTGACATTCCAGTCTCACAACAGTGATACTTATTAAAGGTGAGTTGGCAACCTGGGCAACATAGCAAGATCCAATTTCTACAAGGGGAAAAAAATTAGCCAGTCATGGTGGTGTTCACCTGTAGTACCAGCTACTTAGGAGGCTGAGGTGGGAAGATGGATTGAACCCAGGAATTCAAAGCTGCTGTGAGCTATGACTGCACAACTGCACTCCAGCCTGGGCGACAGGACAAAAGTTCTGTCTCAAAAAAAATAAAAAATAATTTTTTTAAAGGTGAGTAGGAATATAGACCTATCTCTCTCAACAGCTTATGCCACTGACACAAGACTGTACTGCCTGTCCAATCACAGACTATGCCATAATTTTTTAAATGACTATTTTTATAAAGGTATATTGATATGCTCTAAAATCTACCTTTATAACTAAGCTCACATCTAACAAATAACCAATGGTGGTTTCAGTTTTCCCCTATAATTACTCTTTCTGCTAATGTCAGAGCTCTTGTTATTACCAAAAATTTCCTAGGCACCCACCCAAGCACAGTGGTGGCCCCTTATCTAAGGGGGATACATTCTAAGATCCCCATTAAATGCCTGAAACTGCAGATGGTACCAAATCCTATATATGCCACATATTTTTCAATATTTATATATCTATGATAAAGTTTAATTTATAAATTAGGCACAGTAAGAGATTAATAATAAAATACAATAATAACAACAATATACCGTAATAAAAATTAAGTGGAGGATGCAGTGGTGAGTGTCTGCAAGTCCTTGCTATCAGGGAAGCTGGGGCAAGAGGATCACTTTAGCCCAGGAGTTAATGTCTAACCTGGGCAACACAGAGACCCTGTCTCTTAAAAAAAAAAAAAAGGTAATATGAATATGGTATCTCTTTTTAACTTTTAAGTTTAGGGGTACAAGTGCAGGTTTATTATATAGGTAAACTTGTGTCATGGGATTTGTTATACAGATACTTCAGCACTCAGGTATTAATCCTAGTACCTATTAGTTATTTTTCCTGATCCTTTCCCTCCTCCCACCTCCACCCTCCCAAAGGCCCCTGTGTGTGTTGTTCCCCTCTATGTGTCCATGTGTTCTCATCATTTAGCTCCTCTCTCTTTCAAAAGTACCACAGTACTGAAAACATGGAAAGTGAAACTGTGGATATGGGGGTGTGAGACACTGTATCTTATCAACATTCTCAGTACTCCTGCTTGTCTTCCAAATCTTAGGTTCGGTTCTCTCTCAGATTGCCAATTCTTCATAAATCCCTCTCATAATGCTCTTTCATTCCCATTACCACCACTCCTTTATTCAAGTCTTAATAACCTCAATCCCAGACTACAGCAATAGGTGATCCTGCTGCTTTAGGCATGTTCCTCTCCAATTCTATCATGCACGGTCAGACCAATCACCCAGATAATCACCATTACTTAGGTCTGCTGTTCAAATTGCCACAATGGACCTCTAATGTTTACATCAAATAATTGATATTCAAAGGCATTATAAACTCCATCCCCAAAATACTTTTATCATCTTATCTTATATGTACAATCCTGGAAAAGCTGCTCCCTTACTTGCTTTTCAACAAAAATTTTCATGAGATATGCAAAATTTCTTAACGATTTCTCAGAAAGAGCTGATGTCTAATGTGTTCTGTTCAGCGTGAGTTCAGGAATAAGTAGCAGCCAACTCAGTGTGACTATTCATGTGCCCCTATAAATAACTTACACTCTGTCAAGTAACTTAATTCTTTAATTTGTGTTATCATACCCATTCTTCCTTCATATGCTATCATTAAGACACTACCTATCACAACTGCCATCTCTTCCATAATCACAAGAGACATTCCTCTTCTCAGACCTCGACTGGCTTATTGTGTATACACACCTAGACTTCTCATAAATGGGACATGTTCTCTACTGCCTTCGCACCTTTACATATGCAGCTGTCACTTTTGCCTAAAAGCCCATTCCCTCTTTGCCAACATATTGGTCTCCTACCTACATCTGAGGACCTAGTTCAACCAATCTCTCCTCCACTCCAGAAAAGTATTATTACTCTTTTTATAGCAGCAAGCATATCAACATCACTAATAAGATGACGAGCTCTCTAAGGTAGGAACTGTCTTATGTAATATATTCATCTTTGTTCACCTGATATTCAAGATATCTGCCAAAATGGGTGTTTAATTAAATTTTACCTTTTGCCTCAAATACATTTGGCCCTTGGAATTACGTATAAAGTCCTCAAAAGGTATGCACAAGGCCGTATACCAGAAACTAACTTACCTCATTTAAGGCTCACAATAACCTTATTACATAGCTACTTTTCCTATTTTAACAGATGGTACAGATTCTCATAAAAGTTAATTCACAGGCCGGGTGTGGTGGCTCATGCCTGTAATCCCGGTATTTTGGGAGGCCAAGGCAGGTGGATTACAAGGTCAGGAGTTCAAGACTAGCCTGGTCAAGATGGTGAAACCCTGTCTCTACTAAAAACTACAATAATTAGCCAGGCATGGTGGCAACTGCCTATAATCCCAGTTACTCCGGATGCTAAGGCAGAAAAATTGCTTACACCTGGG